GCTTCTCACCTGCTCACTTGAATGGTTTGATCCGATCTATGTCAGATTTGTTTGTGCTTCATTCAAGGGGGTTCTGGTCTGTGTGGCTCCTTGGCCCTTGATGCTATGCGTGAAGGTGGTTGGAGCTCCTTGTGGGATCTGATTATTGGAACTTAGTGCTTTTCCCAGGGCGTCATGGCCTTGCCCTTAGATAAATGGGCAGTTTTAATTTGGGTCGTGAGGGTGGCTTTTCCAGAATGAAACATAACAGCAGAGGAAATGCTGGTTCCGAGAAGCTTGGCTTGTGTGAGAAAATGTGTGGCCCCATGCGGTTTGGACTGTGAGCCCTTTGTCACTTGCTGCGTTCCCCACTGGCAGCCGTATTTCTGGCTGGTGAGGATTCTGAATCAGTTCTTTGTATTCTAAAGAGTAACGTGATTCTTGTCTTGAACTATTGAAAATGGGCTGTCATCTTAGAGTGCGTGCGTGCCTTGCTCTTTTAAGCTGGGATTGAGCCAGTCTAAAGAGGGTGGGTAGATTATGGGCGAGGGAGAGCTGTGCCTGCACGTCTGTTTGCCTTCTCTGACCTGGTTCTCTGTTAAGTCTTCAGCTTTTCCCCATCACATTCTAGGCCTGCCAGGCTTCAGTAACTTGGATGTAGGACTGAGGTGAAATCATGGGTAGATTGACCAGAAATTAAGGTTTAGGGTCCAGCTACTATGGGATTGACACATTCACTAAATCTTCAGGCACATTTTTGCCCCATTTCCAGTCTCAAGTTTATCTGCCATGGGTTTTATAACCAGGTCTCATTCAAAAAAATAAAAAGATTTATGCATACAAGGGCTGGGGTACAGGCCAGAGGTGGGGGAGTGTGATGGCAGAGTGGGGAACAGAACCAGTGGCTTGACTGAAATACACTGCTGAGGGGAGCAGTGGGTGAGACAGGAAGGGTCTGCTGTTAGCCCTGTTAGCTCCCTGGCCGGGGATCGAACTCGGGCTGTGCTGTAGTGACAGCGGGTAGCTTTATATGCTGCAACTTAACTCCTTGTGCCACCAGGGAGACCCCCCCAGGTCTCAATTCTTACACTGGTTTTCAGGAGGTTGAACTCTGAGATTTAGGGACCCATCTTCAACCCTCCCTCCAGGTCTCTGACTCCTTTTCCTTTCCTTGGGCCCTCAGTTCTTAAAAAGCCTCTTTATTTTCTCTTCAGCTTTTTATCTTGTGATCTTAGAGGAAAGTTTGCACCAAAATTCTCCTCCCCATGCGAGTAAACTTGTGGTGGTATGAGAACTGAGGAAGTTAGTGTTAAGTGGATCTTGCCTAGATCTGACTTCAGATCTTGTAGAAATGTATCAGGCTTGCAGGCCTATGGTGCTAGCAGTTAAAGGAGCTGTTAAGTCTGAAATTCTCAGCATCCTTGAGAAAAATAATCTCACAGAGCAGGAATTTGGGTCTGGAAGTTGTACTCTCTGCTAGAAATAACGCACTCAGCTTCTTGGACTGTGGCTTGTCCCTGAATGTTGGGGCTATACCGCTGGAGAGAGCTCAGTGGAAGAGTTGAGCCACCAGTGTAGGGACGGACTAAAGACAGGAGAGGAGCTTGCCTATAGGATAGAGGGTTTTAGATCCACTGTGGTGTGGAGCCATGCTTGAACAAGGGCAGGTGAAGAAGGGAAGAAGGGAGCTTTGAAGGAGCAGGAGCCTAGCTTTGCATGTGGCACCCCGCATGCACCTCAAGGTGGCAGTGTTGCATGAGCCCCTATAGCTGTTCAGCATCCTTAAGCCTTCTAGGATGGGGACCTGTCAGATCAGGCTGAGAGGGCTGAATTCAAGGGAAAGCTGGCCTACCCCATGTACTGCTCCTAAGTTAAAAAGTAGGGCATGTGGGAAGGCCTCTCTGCAAGGCTGTGAGTGTGAGACCAGTTCTCTGTACAGCAGTGTCTGAGTTGAACTTGAATGAGTTGGCAACTTTTTCGCATGTGGATTGTGAGTTGTAAGGAGGCCCAGGTGTGGGCCCTGAGCTTTCTGGCTCCTCACTCTTGGCAGACTTGTTTCCTGCTCATTCCCTTCATGATTCCCCAACTTAGTGCAAACTTACATAAACAATGCGAGCTAGGGGTAGGATGGCAGTCAGCCATGGAAGGCTGGGTCCTGCTTATGGGTTTTTGTAATTATCACAGGCCCAGCCAATACTGGCTTAAGCTGTTCTCTTTTAGTCCTTGTGATACATGGGGATTTGAGCAACAAATGTTTCAGATGCTCTTTTTTTTTAAAATTTATTTTTATACAAGAGTGGGGGTACAGGCCAGAGGCAAGGGAGGGTGAGAGGATTCACCAGAAGACAGAGCAGGGAGCAGAACAGGCAGACAACAAATACACTGCTGAGGGGAGCAGCAGGTGTGACAGGAGAGGTCTGCCGCACCATGTGGAATTCTCAGCCGGCTGGGATAGAACCCGCACTGCAGAGGCTGCGGCGAGCTTCACAGCACGGCACTCGACCCGCCTCGTCAGTGGGGAGGCCCTCAGATGCTATTCTGAGCCACTGGGGAGCTGGGAATAAGAACATCCTAGTGGAGATCATTGCTGACACTGGCCCTTATTCAGCGCCAGATCATTAAGTGTTGAGTTATGTCCTTTTGTGTCCAAGCTGGCCTTAGGCTATTAACTGGTGAGAGGTATAGTCGGGATTTGACCTTTACATCCTCTCACTGTAGAACTGTCCTTAGTCGCTCTCCTGTGCTGTGCTTAGAGCCTGGTAGCACTCTGAGCCTCCCCCACACCCGCTTCCATCCCTCTATCCCCTGGACACAAGGGTAAAGGAAAAAGAATTTAGATTTATTTTTTACTTACGCATACGAGAACTGGGGTGTAGGTCAGAGGTATGGGGGCATGAGAGGATTCACCAGAGATAGTGGGGAGCAGAACAGGCAGATCGACTGAAACACTGCTGAGGGGAGCATCGGGTGAGCCAGGAGAGGTCTGCCGCGCCATGTGGGTCAGCTCCCTGCTGGGGATCGAGAGTGGCTGCCGGTAGCTTCATAGTGCTGAAACAATCCCTGGCGCCACCAGGGAGGCCAAAGAAAAATTTTTAAGGAGAGCTGTTTCTTTGAACTGTTTTTGTTTTTTTAATTTTTATAAATTTTATTTTTATATTCCCCATACAATTGCAACCCCCTTATTTTGACCCCAATCCCTCTCCCTGTTTTTTTTTTTTTTGCCCCAGGCTTGCATTGGCTTTCGCAGCTGCTCTTTAACAATGTCTTGTGTAAGGGAGTGTCTGCCATGGCCCCATCTCCTGAGAACTGTTAGGTTCCATGATGCTTTTGAAAAATGTCAACACTAGGTATGCAATAAATGCCAGTTACTACCTTTCACATGCAAAGGTTACAGGCACAGAAGTTGAAAAGGTCTTTCGGAACTCGGTCTGCTTGGGTTTGCTGTTATCAGGGCCAGCTGAAAGGGAAGTTTGGTGTCCTGTTTGAAGTGAGACAGTCCATTTCCATGATCTGTTCTGATCACTCAGATCCTTGAAGGTGGTGGTCTAGTGGCGGCAGAGACCAGTTAGAAGGGCTGTGGCGGGTAGCATGTTAGGCATACCTGCAGTTGTTGGGGCAGTGAAGGTGAAAAGGAAGGTGGCTCAATATAATTGGCGAGAAAATCTGGTCTTTATGGAACATGCAAAGATTTTTGTTGACTGGTTAGGCTGTTGCCTTTCATGCGAGATACAGAAATGGTAAAACAATTTCAGTTCTGGGAAGTAAGATGTAAGTGACCATTGACCCATCATCTCAGGGACTGAATGAGACTTGAAGACTCACAAAGACCACAGTTGAGGATGCTATGGGGAGCACCAGCATTTCATGGCGCGCTACTCAGGATGTTGGCCTGGTTCCTGCTTCTGGGGAAGCTCAGCTTTCCTCCTGGTGCCCCAGGGAGCTTCAGGAGCAGTCCCATGTGGCCAGGAGGCCTTGACAGTAGCTACATCTTAGCTTCCCAGTAACCACTTATTTCCTGCATGCTCTGGTGATGTCTGGTGATCGAGTAGATCACAATGGGACGGGAAATGTTGCACGTTGTCAGAATGAGATTGTTCATACATTTCTGAAGACGTGTGAATGATGAAGCCCATAGCTAATTCTCGTTACCTGCTAGAAGTTAGTCCAGTGAAGTCTGTCCAGCTTTGCTTGTTGGCTGGTAGGTATATCATTGTGAAGGGCACAGAGCCAGTCATTACCCTCATACCTGGGTTCCCCATGTGTGGAGACTCTCAACCTCTAAGAATGGGCTACTGGGCCTTTTTGGGGCCTGCCTGTTGCTTTGTGATTGCCTCCCCCCACTTCGAGGCCAGGAAGAATTTGGGGGCAAAGTGTACTTCGGATGTTGTTACAGGATATCATTCCCTAATCAGCCTCTGAAAAGGCTCAAGTGCTGTTACCTGGAGGGATGAACTCGTCCTGTTGTAGGCAGACCAAAGAAGTCCCCACAATTGCTTCTGTGGTGGTGTGTTTTCTGGGCAAACTATATAACCCCTTCCTCCAGGGGCTGGGGTTGAATGGAAGCAACTAAGCTTCTGGTGCCAGTGCTAGGAGGAATACTTGGTGGCCTGTGCTCTTGTCCTATGTTTAGGTGATACCGTTTCTCTCCCTGAAAATTACTCATTTCACAATTTTGCTCTCTCCATGGACAAAACAACAAACTATGTAGGTTAGCCTGTTTCAAATTGCCTCTACCACATCTGCCCGCCCGCACCCCCAGTTCCAGACCCTTTGATATATCTTCTTTAACTTTTACACCTTGGCCACAAGGTTAACTGTCATCTCAAGGGCAGGCCCTCTGGAGTAGTGCTAGGGGAGTGGCCACGTAGCCGGGCGGGGAGGGGATATTCCTCGGTGTCTGAGGCAGGAAGGATGAAGCGTTTGGGGAACCTGCTGCCTTAGGCAGCGAGTAGAGCTTCAGCCCAGCCTCTCTGGCATTTGGATGTATAACTTAGCCCTGCATGTGCGAACACGGCTGGACGCAGGAAAAGAACACAAGGACAGGATGCGGTTTTCATATTGTATATAAAAATCCCAGATCACCCAGGGGGTGTCCATGGGGCCGCTGCTGGGAAGTGCCTTACTTCTCCAGGTCGGTCACCAGGTAGGGCTGGGTGTCCCGTAGGGCCTGAAGGAGCAGGTTCTTGCAGCTCAGGTCCCAGGCTGGAACGAAGCTGAAGAGCATCCTCATCTTGGTGGGGTTGGTGGCCTCTGCTCGGATTGCCTGGTACTGCTCCTCTGTCAGGACCTTCCCATACAGGGCATCCAGGATCCCTTCCACGTTTGTGACGCGGGCAATGAGGGCTGCCCGGTGATGGTCCACAAAGTGTCCTGGGGCAGGAGGGAGGAGAGCAGGTGAGCTGGCACCCAGGGCCAGTGCTAGGGCCTGTCCCTGTGGAAACTTGATTTCTCTAGAAATTGCTCTGAGTGTAGCCCTAAGGAGTAGGGCTTAAGGGGGGCAGCCACCAGGACTCTGGACGGAGTTGGGTGAGTATTACTTTTTCTCCACCAGGCTCAGCCACTCACTCCACACCAGCTGTGAAGTGGGCAGGGTTGCTCAGCCTGGCCTTCCCCTTTGCAGAGGTGTGTTGGGTGGATCTGGGGAGACAGGAGGCTGCGTGTGAAAGCTTCACCTAGCTTGGCTGCCATCGGGGGAAGGGCCTCCATCCCGTATCTGGGGAGGATCCCAGGCAGGAGATAAGGTGTCAATCAGCCTCACCTTGCTTGGCTGCCATCTGGGGAAGGGCTGTGGCTGCAGATGGCACCGCCACCGCCGATGGCACCGCTCCAGGGCCTGTAAAGAAATCAGTATGGGCGGGGGGTGGGGGGGGTGGCTGGGGAGAGGTCCTGATCCTAAGCCCAGGTGAAGGCTATGACCTAGCCTTCAGGACAGAGGGAAGCCTCCCTTCCCGGCAGGGGGACCTTTTTCAGAGGGTAGAAGGAACAGAAAGTGAAAGTGTCCGAGGGGCACACTCCGGGATGGGGGGTAGAGGAGGGGACAGCGGAGGGGGCCCGCGGAGGGGCGCGCTCACCCGAGCCGCTCGCGTCCAGCTGCTCGGCCAGGTCCTGCATGCCCATCTCGCGCAGCACGGAGCCCGTGAGCTGGGCGCCGTAGTCCTCCCGGTAGTAGTTGACGAGCTTGTCGGTGAGGTCCATGGCGTCCAAGGGCAGCAGCTGCCCCCGCGGGATGCGCCCAAAGCCCTCGCGCGGCGTCACTGAAAGCAGCTTCATCTTGAATTTCTTCAACTCGTCGGCCGTCAGGTTCTCCAGCGCCTCCAGGATGGCGTCGCGCGCGCGCCCCATTTTCCCGGGCTTTCACCCTGCGCCGCCTGCTCGGTGTCTGCTGGAGCAGGAGGGCAGGAAGTTGGCTCAGAGCGGAACCTGGGGCTCCCCGCCTTCTCCCGACTCCACCCCAGACCCTGCCCTCGGTGTAGTGCGGTGCCCATGCCTTTGGGGGGTGCCAACACTGCGTCCTCCGCTGGCGCCGGCCGGAGGCGGATCTGCGAGGTGGGACCCAGGAGTCAGGGCGGGAGGGCTCGGGGCGGCGCCTGCCTCTCCGGCTCGCACCGTCGCACACCGAAGGCTGGTCTGCTGAAGCGCCAGGGCTCAGACTCCTGGAATTCTAGAACCGGACATCTCCACCTTCCCCTGCTCTCTAGCATCCTTTCTCGCATGGCACGGAATCTTAGCATCCTAACAGCCAGAACCGTGTAGCTCCCCAAATTCCACCTATAGGGAAGAAATGAGGTGCAAACGGGATAGAGATGTGTGCGCTTTTCCTCTTTCATATCGGTTTCCTCATCAGTCAAGTGGGGATGATATTTCCTCATCCGCTTAGTAAGCGGTCCAGCATAACCCGGGTCCCATGCTTCCCGGGAGCCGGAATTGGTTCACCGAGTGGAATTTCTTGGGAAGTGTTGACAAGAGACTCTTGTAACAGTTGAGAAAATTCCTGACTGGAAGGCAGGTGGTGGGTGGAGATCCACTCTGCCCAGGGCCTTGATCCAGACGGCTGGAGGGAGGTGGCGTGGTGAGTTGTGTCCAGAATCCTTCACTTGCCCTCACCATGGCCCTGCTGGCCTGGCCTGTGGCCCTCACCAGCCTTGCCTTCTCCACACCCTGCTCTCCCTCCTGAGTTCCTCAGACACCCCCGGCCCCATCGCTTCTCCGAAACGTTGCCTTCAACCTGAAACTTCTCTTCCCTCACTCTTTGCTTGACAAACTCTTGAGGCTTTTGTTCTCACGTTAAAATGTCACTTTCTCTGGCAGGCCTGGAAAATCCCTCTCAGATCTGTTCATACCTTCTACTAATTTGTAGCTCATGTAGCAATTGTGACTACATTTCAGCGAACTCTGTTTGGTATCAGCCTTCCTGCGGGAATGTAAACCCCGCCTGTCAAGAGCCTGGTTATACCCACAGCATCTGGAGCGGAGTGTGAGGGATGTAGACTCTCAAAAAAGTATCCATGGACTCAACAGTGAGTGAATGTGGCCCAAGGGAGCAACTGTGCCCTACACACAGCGCTTCCGAGAGGCAGCTTCCAGACAGGAGGACTTGGCTCGCCTTCCTGGTGGGGCTTGGGAATCCTTCATGTTCCCCCGCAGCTGGCTTGTAACAGTCATCATTCCTCCTGGTGATGTGATCCTGACATGCAATACATGCGTCCCCTTACCGGGCATCCACCTTCTGCCCTGCCTCCATGAGGGCAGTTACTCCACCTGGCTAGTTTCTGAATGCCCAGCATTGAGAGTGCTGGGCTCACCGGAGCTCAGAGGAGATTTGCTGAATGAAGGAACGAAGAGGCTGGGTTGCCTGCAGCATGTGGCATCCACAAGCTTCAGGTGGAGGCGCAGGGCCCCTTCTCGTGCATGCTGGCTGGGGATCGACTTGTGCTGCAGAGGTTGTGGACAGCTTCATAGGTTGCGTCTTAACCCCTTGCGCCACCAGGGAGGCCCGGGCTTATAATTTATTTATTTATTTATTTATTTATTTATTTTTTTAGTTTTTTTTTTATAGAGGCATGTTTTATTTATTTATTTATTTATTTATTATATTTGTTTGTTTTGTTTATACATGCACTGGGTACAGTCAGAAGTGCGGGAGGGTGAGAGAATTCACCAGAGCCAGAGCGGGGAGCAGAGCAGGCAGAAGGGCTGAAGTACACTGCTGAGGGGAGCAGCGGGTGGCAGGAGAGGTCTGCGCACCATGTGGGATCCTCCTCCAGTGGCCGGGGAGCAACCGGGGATCGAACTGGCGCCGCAGAGGCCGCGGGCAGCTTCGCAACCCAGCGCTCAACCGCTGCGCCACCGGGGAGGCCCTTATAATTTATTAAAAAGATTTTTTAATTGGGATAACATTGCATTGTAATATGTTTCATTTTTTGGATTTATTAGATTCCAGGCACTATGCAAAGCCTGCAACATGCCACCCACCTTGCAGGTTTTCAGAAATGACTCTGGAAGCCTACACTGGTTGTGAAGAATGAAATGCAGATGGAACCAATGGCCCTCTGGGTCCTAGGTCCAAGTGCCAACCAATGTCCTAAAACTCTCACTCCCTGCCCTCAAAACTGGACAACTTGCTTAGAGAGATTATAATAAGGAAATATCAATATATGTCTCCTTCAGACTCCACAAACATCTGTTGTTGCGATAATAGTGATGATAATATTGCAGATGTTAATGTTAACAGTAATGTACTAGTTAATAGTTACAATAGTGATAATATTATTGCGGATATTGTGATAATAGTGACTATAGCATTAACTTCCTCATTGCAGAGTGCTCTAGAACATAAAAAGCACATTCATATTTTGAAATATTGGGAAAAGCAATGAGGAATGTCTGCCCTGCATACATTCAATTTTCATACCCTCTACCTTTTAGCTGTGTGACTTAGGGAGGTCACAGCTCCCTCTTGGGGGTTTGTCCTACTAACTGTGCTCACCTCACTGGCCCATAAGGAATCAGTACTCTGGGAAGGGCAGTAGGTTGCCCAAGGTCCCTTAGGCAGGTGAGGTGGTTTCCACTGGGGAGGTGGGGAATAGGAACCTTGAGTTGCTCATTGGGAAGCCATAGTGATTCCTTCTCCCTAAACCCCTTTTTCTGAGTGAAGAGATCAGAAATCTGAGCTTTGATATCTGGTTAGAAAGAATCTCCACATCTCATCTCAGACCCACCCTGGATCAGAGCCAGATCCCCTGGATCAGAGCCAGAACAGTTGGTGGTGATAAGAGGCTTTCTGGGTGTGGCCCCTCACCCTGAAAGGCAGCCCTTTTATTGCTGGAGCCTCTCCCCTGGTGCAAGAAGGACCAGAGAATGCCAGGACTTTGGTTCACTTGATCTCTTTATGCCTCCGGAGCTCCCTTTGAGATCGGAACAGTGTTGGGGTTGTCTTGAAGTTATAAGTGATGAGGTTACCAGTGCTTTAAGAATTGTAAAGTCTACACCTCAGTTATTCTATACAAAATAAAAATCTTACAATAAAGGAATAAAGGAATAATTCTTTTAAAAAAAGATTTATTTTATTTATGCATACAAGAACTGGGGTACAGGCCAGAGGTGCGGGAGGTGAGAAGATTTGCCAGAGACAGACTGGGGAGCAGAACACACGGATCGACTGAAATACACTGCTGAGGGGAGCAGCAGGCCAGACAGAATAGGTCTGCTGCACCATGTGGGTAGTAACTTCCTGGCTGGGGATCGAACTCATGCTGCAGTGGCTGTGGATAGCTTCATAGTGCTGAGACTTAACCCCTTGTGCCACTAGGGAGGCCCTAAAGGAATAATTCTTAAAAAAAAAAAAAAAAAAAGAATTGTGAAGTGCTTGGAAAAGGCCTGGTGCATAGTAAATGCTTTTGTCATCGTAAAGTTTCTGAGCCTCAGCTTCGCAATCTGTGAAGTGGGGATGATGTTACTGACCTTATGGGCTGTAGGAAGATTCACTGAAACAAATAGTAATAACTGTAATAGTTGCAATTGCCAATATTTACTGAACATTTTTTATGTTCTGAGAGCTTTACATGAATTAACTTGTTGAATCTTACTAACAGTTCAATAGTCTTGATAATAATTCTGACATGGTCCCAGTTTTACAAATGAGAAAAGGCCCAAGGTCACACAATAATGAAAAGTTTGAGCCTAACTAGTGGAGTCGCCGCTTCCTAAGCCCTTGGGTGTCAGCACATGTCCCTTGTGTTCATTTAGCACATTTAATCCTCATGACAACCTACTGGGATGTTGTTATCATCCTACTTATCCTTGTAACTGGAGCTGCTGAAGCCTAGAGAAGTGGGGTCTCCCTGGGTACGCCCAGGGACACCCCTATTCAGGACTGAGTCTGCAGTGGCCCTGGCTTCTCTTTGCATTTATCCAGTGCAAGGTGCTGTCACATCCCTCAGCACTTGTCACTCTGGCTGCTGGGAAGCTCTCCCCTAGATTGTGCTGAAGTCTGTCCCCTATGAGCTCTGTGAGCAGAGCTGTGAGGTCAGCAACACTGTCCCCACTTCCTCTTCCCCTGGACATGGCTTGGTCCCTTTTTTTCTTTATTAAAGATTTTATTTTTGTGTAGAAGAACTCAGATGTATGCCAGAGGTGCAGGGGATGAGAGGGTTTACCAGAGACAGAGTGGGGAGCGGAATAGGCAGACCTGCTGAAATCCACTGCTGAGGAGAGCAGGAGGCGAGACAGGAGAGGTCTGAGGCGCCATATGTGGGTTAGCTCCCTGGCCAGGGATTGAACTCAGGCTGTGGCAGTGGTAGCACTGAGACTTCAGCCCTAGGCCACCAGGGAGCACCCCCGGCCCGCTTCTTGTCCACCAACGTGCTATAGAAAGTGTCTCTTCCCTGGGTCAGAGGTGCATCTACAGAGAGGGGTTGAAATGATCCTCACCTCCTGTCTTGGGTACCCAATCCCACTGCCCAGACCTTCAGCCCCAGCTTGGCAGTAATGGAAGCACCAGGTGAAATCTACATTCAGGGAGTTGGCTTTTCAAGCTGAAGTGAAGTGACTTGCAGTTTCGAAACCAATTCCAGATATGCTATCATTCTCCCCCCACCCTTTTTGCTAACCCAAGGCCAAGGCCAAGGCATCAAAAAAAAAAAAAAAAAAAGCATCGAGGAAACCAGAGGCTTAAAGAAGAAGAGAGTGGGGAGCTCAGACTTTTCTGGACTTCTCAGGGTCCTGGTGAAAAATGCTAGCTTCCCGAGACTCTTCTCGTGCCATGATTAAACCTGCAGTCGCTCGTATAGTTCTGTGCTGTGCTCCTAAAGAATGATACAACTTCACCATCTCTTCCTGAGAGGCCCAAATGATTCCAGGCTGAACAATGTCCCCAGTGCATGCCTACAAGGGGCCAGGAGGCCTGGAGCAGCTTCCTAAGCACGAACGTGCAAGAACCTCAAGTGTTCAAGAAGGAATGAGCTCAGAACTTGGAGACAATTCCAAAGGCTTGTCACAAAAGCTGGATGTGCAAGGAACCCTCTGGCTTAGATTTATTTACTAGCCCAAGAGTTGGAGTAAGGAGAATACCTTTGAAGAGGTATGGGGGACAGTTGCCTCCTTCCCCTTTATTTTATTTATTTATTTATTTTTACTTTTATTTATTTTTTTTAAATAATAAATTTTATTTTTATATTCCCCATACAATTGCAACCCCCCCATTCTGACCCCAATCCCTCCCCTCCCGCCCCCCACCCCCCAAAAAGTGTCTCTGGTTCATAGTTTTTTGTTGATTTTGATTTTCACTTTCTTATAGTTATTCATTTTCCTGGTCCCTTATTTAAGTTTTCTAGATTCCTGCTATGAGTGAGACCATCCGGTATTTTTCTTTTTCTTTCTGGCTTATTTCCCTGAGCATGATCCCTTCCAGCGCCATCCATGTTGCTGCAAATTGCATGTGTTTATCTTTTTTGAATGCTGAGTAATATTCCATGGTGTATATGTACCCCATCTTCTTGATCCAGTCATCTGTTTTTGGGCATTTGGGTTGTTTCCAAAGCTTAGCTATTGTAAACAGTGCTGCTATAAACATAGCCTCCTTCCCCTTTATAAACAGAAAAATATCTTCCTCATTGTTCATCTCGGGGTGTCTGGCTACCTCCTGGGACAATTAACCTGGTCTCATCACAAGACCCCCCTGTACCTCTGGCTTGCATCCCTGTTCTTGCATGCATGCATGCATAAATTTTTAAAAAAGATTTATTTATTCATTTTACACAAGAACCGGGGTACAGGCCAGATGTGCAGGAGGGTGAGAGGATTCACCAGAGACAGAGTGGGGAGCAGAACAGGCGGATCTCCTGAAATACACTGCTGAGGGGAGCAGCGGGCGAGGCAGGAGAGGTCTGCTGCGCCATGTGGGGTTCTCCCTGGCTGGTGGGCAATTGAACCGGTGCTGCAGAGGCTGCGGACAGCTTCACAGCGCGGCGCTCAACCGCCTGAGCCACCAGGGGAGGCCCCATAAATAAATTTTTAAAAAAATCAGTGAACAAAATTTATATTCTGCAGGGGGACTCAGACACAAAAAAACCTAACAAGAAAGAAAACGGTATTGCATGTGAGGTGGTGCTAACTGCTATGGAGAAAAATAAAGCAGGGAAGGGAGAGATGAGATTTTAAAATCAGGGAGTCAGGAAGGCTTCCCTAAAAAGGTGGCACTGAGCAAAGAGCTGATGGGGCCGGGGGCAGTGCCGTCCTAGGCTTGACAGAGTGTTCCAGCCAGAGCAGAGGGCAAGGGCAGCTGGAGTGGGCCAGGGGGCAGGGGTGGAGACGGGTGGGGGAGATGGATGGGGTCAGATCAGGTGGGGCTGTGCAGGCCCCAGGGAGGACTTGCTCTTTGTTCTGTATGAAAATTTTTTTTTTTTAAAGATTATTTATTTATTTATACATGCACTGGGTACAGTCAGAAGTGTGGGAGGGTGAGAGAATTCACCAGAGCCAGAGCAGGGAGCAGGGCAGGCAGAAGGACCGAAGTACACTGCTGAGGGGAGCAGCGGGCGGCAGGAGAGGTCTGCGCGCCATGTGGGACCCTCCTCTGGTGGCCGGGGAGCAGCCGGGGATCGAACGGGCACCGCGGAGGCTGCGGGCAGCTTTGCAACCCAGCGTACCGCCGGGGAGGCCCTGTTCTGTATGAAAATTTAAGCAGATTTGAAGGAGAAGCCTGGGGAAGGCCTGAGGCTCAGGGCAGGAGAGCATTCTGGGCTGCATGTTCCGTGGTCAGTCTGTCCTTTGTTCCACTGTCCCTGTGGTGTCCATTTCCCAGGCATTGGGGAGGCCTGCTTTGCCCCTGGGCTCGTGTTGGGCACCATGGAAGCCACAGCGTCCCCCCCCCCCCCGCCCTGGGGGAAGAACGCCTTTCAGGGTGGGGTAAGGTCCTGTCCTTGGGTGGAGATAATACTGCCGGCGTGACCTTGGGTGAGCCATACGCTTGGGGAATAAGTGGGTGACAAGCTGGAGAGGGGCCACAGGTGGAAAAGGGGGAAGTTGCAGGCTGTGGAAGTGGGGGAGGGGAGGAAGGGGAGACACCCTCAGTCATGTTCTTGTCTTTTCTGAGGCTCAAGAGGCCCTGCCTCTTTGCTGGCTATGAGTTTTGGCTCTGGGCTGGGCAGGGAAGGGAGGACAGTGGATGGCCCATAACAGGTGGCCCTGACATGTGATACTTGCTGGCTGACCACTTAGTCCTCACTTTTAGAACTGGTTTCCAGAAGTGATGGGAGGGGTTGGGCACAGCAGCTAAATATAGTCCTGGGCTGGGGCTCAGTCTGGGAGGGTCTGCGACTGTTCACGGCGTGCAGTCACCCGCGGTGTCCACGGCCGGCTGCCACTGCGGTCCCTGTCCTTGCGCTCAGCTTGCTGTTTGCCCCTCTCCTGCCTTTGCTCGTCGGCCCCCTTCTCCTTGGGCTTGACCTGGGCTGGGCTTCCTGGGACTCTCTTTTGGCCGAAGATCTCCAGCCAGATCTGTGAGTCATGGGCCTGGAGACGCAGGGTGAGGGAGTACTGGGAGTCTAGAGCGGTGAGGGGGAGGGTAGCAGGTAGGGGCTGGAGAATTTAGGGCCGAGGCCAAGGTCTGGGGCTAAGACAGTGGGTAAGACTGTTTGGAACCAGGGCTAGGTTTTTCAGGAACTGGAATTGAGACAAGGTTCCCCATAGGGGCAACTTGGGGGCTGGGGTTGAGAACTGCTCTGGAGGTTGGTATTGGTACTGAGCCCTGTCCCCCTTCTGCCTTGGCCAGCACCAGAGCCCCTTCCTGTACCGCATGTGCGATCTTTATAGGTCGGGGTTCTCTCTGCGGGCCCAAAGACCAGCCTGGAGCAGGCGCTGGGGCTCCCCCGCACCCTCCAGCCTCCCTGACGCACCCCTCCCGTCCCCAGGCCCGCCATGTCGGCCGCGCCCCGCCTCCTGCACCAGGAGCTGTCCTGCCCGCTGTGCCTGAAGCTGTTCGACGCGCCCGTGACCGCAGAGTGTGGCCACAGCTTCTGCCGCGCCTGCCTGGGCCGCGTGGCCGGGGAGCCGGCGGCGGACGGCACGGTGCCCTGCCCGAGCTGCCAGGCGCCCACGCGGCCGCAGGCGCTCAGCACCAACCTGCAGCTGGCACGCCTGGTGGAGGGGCTGGCGCAGGTGCCGCAGGGCCACTGCGAGGAGCACCTCGACCCACTGAGCATCTACTGTGAGCAGGACCGCGTGCTCGTGTGCGGCGTGTGCGCCTCGCTCGGCTCGCACCGCGGGCACCGCCTGCTGCAGGCCTCCGAGGCCCACGCCCGCCTCAAGGTGCGGAACCGGGCGGCCGCCCGCGGGGACCCGGCCCCACCGGATTGTCGGGGCGGGGAGGGGGGCGGGCCTGGCGGGGCAGGAGGTCGCTGCCTGGACCTGGACTCTGAGCTTCAGGGCTCAGAGTTGCCGGGGACGCGGGCGGGTCAAGGCCACGTGGCAATGAGGGCTGGTGAGCCGGGGGCGGGCCCTGGGGGAGCGCGGGGAGATGGGCGGGGCCACGGGGCGGAGCCTGAGAATGGGGCGGAGCCTGGCGCCGCCCAGGGCTGTGTGGGTGCCCGCAGCCCTGCAGCTGTGGCGGCCTGGGTGGGGCGCTCAGGCTGGCAGGTCTGCCTCTGAGAGGCCAGAGGCGCTGGCCCTAGCGCGTCCCGGAGCGGGGCTGGCCCGGGCCTCACAGCGGCTTCGCAGAGGTCCTCGCTCCCAGGAGGTGCAGAACTGGGGCAGGTCTGACCATCCCCAAATGGGCCTAGCCCCAGGGAAGGCTGAAAGGGCAATGCGCGGCCAGGTTGGCACCGAGTCCAGTCAACGCTTTTTTTCTGGTCAGAACTGGAAGTCCTGACCGCTTCCAGAGCCCCACAAAGACACCCCGACACTAGCAAATGGAGACGCCCGCACAGACTAGCTCCCACATGTCTTATATTTGGCAAATCACCCTAGGGGAGGGTGTGCATCCACACAACCCCAGCCCCCAAACTGCCTTATCAGGGACCTTGGCTCAAGTGAGACATTTATTGGGAGGTGGAAGAACAGTGACAGGTGCAGGGACTGGAGGCAGAAGGGTCTGGAAGCCTGGGGTCCTCTCTCTGCGATGGGAAAGCTGGCTTTCTTGTGGCTTCTTGTGACTTGTGCTCTGGGAGGACTTCTGTGGGGTTTCTGCCTATAGACAAGCGTTGACTGCTCCTCTCCTTGGCCCTCAGGCTCCTAGATGGGGGGTAGACACTTGTCCTCAGGCTGGTATTCCCACCACCCAGACTTTTCCAGGGACCCAGCCTCAGTGTCTCACTCCTGTCTTGTCCAGTTCAGCCCAGTCCAGTGCTGACTGGTGGTCTTCTAGCCCAGTGTAGGACCTGTCTCCTCCCAGAAGCCTCCCAATCCAGACTCACCTCTGCTGATAACCCCCAGAATTCCTAAACCAGAGCATTTACCTGTGAAGAGAGAACAGAGTCTAAAATGAGCCAGGCACCCAGCAGCCCAGGGGTGGGATACACTTCCAGGGTCTATCCAGCCCAGCCCCAAGCCTTAGGGAGGGCCCCAGAAGGGTGTGTGAGGGAGGAGGGGGTTGGAAGGGGGGATCAGATGCCTGGGTCCCTGGGGAGGAAGGGGGGTGGCGCTGGTCCAGAGCCATGTCCCAGACTCAGTGGTTAAATGGGTCACCGGACCCTGGCAACTCACGCGAGTCCCTGAAGCCGAGCCGCCTCCTCCTGCAGGCCCATATCAGCCAGCAAACCCGCGGTGAGCTCAGCGGCGTAGTCCTCGCGGTAGAAAGAGACCAGCTTGTCCGTGAGGTCCACTGCATCCAGTATCCCGAGCGAGCCCCGGGGGATGGTCCGATAACCCTCCCGCACGTTAGCTGCCCCCAGCTTCAGCTTGAACTTCTTGAGCTCATCCGCAGTCAGGTTCTCCAGAGCCTCCAGGATGGCGTCTCGCTTCTTCCCCATGGCTCAGCCCTGATCCCGCTGTACCTTGAGGCCTCACACTGACAGACACCAGACCTGTCCTTTTCTGCAGCAGGCGGGGCAGTCGCCCTAGACGATATCCCAGGGAGGAGACCAACCTGGACGCTGGCCAGGGGAGACAATAGTCCAATCACGTGCCTCCTCGCTGGGCAAGCGAGGGCCACATCGGCAAATAGTGTCAAGAGGGCTTCCCAGTATCCTGAAAGAGGGTGTGGGGGGATCAATTTGTTATACCATGGGTGAGGCAGGGGTGGCTCTTCCCATGACAAATCAGGAAGTTATATGGGCAGGAGGGGGCCAGATCACTGGAGGGTCATGCACTCCCAGCAGAGGGTCTTGGGCAGGAGCTGTTGGGGGCTTCCCAGTACCTGCACCTCAGGAGTCACAAACTGCCGGGTCTAGGGTAGGAACTGCCCTCAGAGGCCACAGTGCTCATTGGGTATTTTGCTTAAGTGCTGCTTTGAAGTATAGGGTGAAGCCCAGGAGTAGGAGGAAGTTGCGTTGCTCCTTCACACACCTCACACACGCACACACTCCCCCTGAAACCTGCCGTGTACTCAGCCCTGGACCCATCTGGTGGAGAAAACCAAACTGCATTCACGTTGGTCCTCCTCACAGAGACCTGTGCTGAGGGGCTGACAGCTGAAGGCTTGGGAGCAGGGAAGGCCAGGCTGGGGTGGGGTTACTGAAAGAATGTTCAAAGAGTAGGACCAGCCTGGCAGGGGTCTGGAGTCCTGCACATGGGCTTAGGGGGTGGTAAGATGCCAGTCAGGCTGGAGGAGGTGCTGGCTGGAGGCCAAGGCAGAGAGGGTAGGTTTAGGGTGGAGATGTGGGTTAGGGGGGCAGCAGCAGATCACTTCGTTATGCTCCGCCCTCCAGACACAGCTCCCACAGCAGAAGGAGCAGCTGCAGGAGGCGTGCGCGCGCAAGGAGAAGAGCGTGGCTGTGCTGGAGCATCAGCTGGTGGAGGTGGAGGTGAGGGGCTCAGTGTGGCAAAGCCTCGAGAGAGGGGTCCAAGCTGGGGGTTCCCTGCCAAATGCTTCTGTCTTTCTTTCTGTCCCCATAGGAGACGGTGCAACAGTTCCGGGGGGCTGTGGCGGAGCAGCTGGGCAAGATGCGGGTGTTCCTGGCTGCCCTGGAGGGCTCACTGGACCGGGAGGCCGAGCGTGTGCGGGAGGAGGCCGGGGTGGCCTTGCGGCGGGAGCTGGGGGGCGTGAACTCTTACCTGGAGCAGCTGCGGCAGATGGAGAAGGTGCTGGAGGAGGTGGCAGACAAGCCACAGACGGAGTTCCTCATGGTGAGCACTGGGTGACCTTGGCCTCGCCCCTCGCCAGGGCTCCAGTCTAGAGACACCCTCCCAGGGGGAGACGGGCCTCGAGGGGCCACGAGAAGCCAGGCTCACCGGGAGGAGGGCTGGGCCCCAGGGCTACTCCCTGGTTGTTGAGGCCGGGCGCTGCCCACGGGCCCTGTATCTAAGTGGGCGCCACTCCTGCCACAGACGCTGTGGGTCTGCACCTTTGTTAGGGTGCTTTGTTAGGGTGCAGCAGGTTCAGAGCCTCTGGGAGAAGGGCGCCCTTTTCTCATTCACATGCAGCGAAGTGCTGGGGTGCGTTGTGTTCTGGGTTTCCTTTGACTTTTCTGATTCTTCCTGTGCCCAGGATGGAAGGTGTGGGGGGATCTCAGTATTCCTGGGGGCCCACACGATCCCCAGCAGTGCCCAGTGTCCGCCTGCCTGTCTCACTCCCTTCTCTTTTTCTCCCTGTCCAGAAATACTGCCTGGTGACCAGCAGGTGAGATCAGCCTGGCCCACCCCTCCCCCTATCTGCCCTCATTGTGTCTGGGGCCACGGGTCCCCCCTGCTTCCCCTGCAGCCACTGCCATGTCCCAGCACTTTGTGTGGAAGGCAGACACGAAGCTGACCTGGTCTTTTGTGAGGCCCTCCCGGATGGCTGCTGGAGACATGCGGGCAGGAACATGGGCATCACGGTGGCTCCGTGCTGCCTGGAGGGTAGGGGGCAGTCAGAGAAGAGAGAGCTGGGCATGGGGAGTGAAGGGTTGGCTGGTAAGGAGCTGGGGAAAGGGCGCTGCGGACGAGGGAACAGCAAGGGCAGGCTGGTGAATGGGAGCGGAGGTGAAGCTGGCATGGCAGGTGGGGCGAACTGAAGGGCTGAGGAGCCTGGACCGTATCCTAACAGGCGGCTTTCTCAAAAAGATGTATTTATTTGTGCAGACAAGAGCTGGGGTGCAGGCCAGAGGTGTGGGGGATGAGAGGATCCACCAGAGACAGAGTGGGGAACAGAACAGGCAGACTGACCGAAGTACACTGCTGAGGGGAGCAGCGGGTGAGACAGGAGAGGTCTGCTGCGCCATGTGGGTAGCTCCCTGGCTGGGGATCAAACTTGTGCTGCAGAGGCTGCGGACAGCTTCATGGTGCTGTCTTAACCCCTGTGCCACCAGGGAGGCCCAGAAGGCTTTTTTTTTTTTCTTAAATTGTGGTAAAATAGAACATAAAACGCACTAACTTAATCATTTTCAGCAGACATCTTAAGTTTGGTGGCATTTAATACACTCATGTTGTGTAAACGTCACCGCCATCATCTCTACAACTTATTATTTTTCCAAACCGAAACTCCAGCGGAAAAGCTTTAAATCAGGCTGCGATGTGGGGGGGACCTGGAATCCACTGCAGCCCCTGGCCTCCTCCGTGTCCTGCCTCTTGCCTTGCCCTACCCCATGCCTCCTCCAGGAAGTCCCTTCACAGACCCGCCCCCTCCTCCACTTGCCCCCCCACCCCAGGCTGCAGAAGATCCTGGCAGAGTCGCCGCCCCCAGCACGTCTGGACATCCAGCTGCCTATCATCTCAGATGACTTCAAATTCCAGGTGTGGAGGAAGATGTTCCGGGCGCTGATGCCAGGTACGGGGAGGGGCCGCCTCTGGGTTGTGTTCTTAACTGTGGGGCTCCTGGGAGACTCCAGCCACACACAGAGGGCCCCTCTATCCCAACTGGGGAGGTCATCCAGGAGGTCATCCTTGAAACCTTCTCTGGGAGGAGGACCTTTGAGGACATGAATTTGTAGGTGGGTGGCTGACATGGCGTGGACCCTGCTTACTGAAGGGGCTGCTGCTGGCTGCGGGGGGCTGGGCCTGGGAGAGCCACTGACTCCCTGTGTGACCCCCGGCTGGTTCCTGCCCCTCTAGTCAGTGGAGATGATAGTTTCTGTTCATGGGGAAGGGGTTGCTGAGGGTCTGCAGAACTGGAACCCTGGGGGACTGGCCTGGGTCAGACATGGCTGTTGGTGGCTTGTGGCTGGGGAGGCCCAAGGGCTTTCCCTCCCTACCCAGGAGCTAGAGAGCAGTGGGGTGCAGATTACAAAGCTCTGGGACACACACACACACACACACACACACACACACACACACACACGGTGCAGCACTCACTGCAGGGAGGTGGGCTCTCTTTAGCTGCTGAGGACCAAGGCCCAGAGATTAGGCCAGACAGGGAGTCACAGAGCTGGGTGAGGCTTGGACGAGGCTTCCTGCTCTGTGGCCAGGCCCTTTCTGGGCCTCAGAAGGTGAGTTACCCGCCTTGAATCCACTTCATCTTCCTCACAACCGGGAAGGTCCTATGCCTTCAGCTTACCTTTGAGCAACCTGGAAACCAGAGCCCATGGGACCGTGTCCAGCCCAGGCCAGTGAGCTGAGAGGGGCCCGGCCCGGGGGGCTGGGAGGTGGCGGGCAGGCCGGCTCCTGAACTGGCGGGGAGCAAGCTGGCGCCCGGTGGACGCGCGGGGCTGACCGCTCTCCCCCCGCAGCGCTGAGCGAGCTGACCTTGGACCCCAGCACGGCCCACCCGAGCCTGGTGCTGGCGCCCTCGGGCCGCCGCGCGGAGTGCTCGGAGCAGAAGGCGCCGCCGGCCGGGGAGGACCCGCGCCAGTTCGACAAGGCCGTGGCGGTGGTGGCGCGCCAGCTGCTCTCCGCGGGCGAGCACTACTGGGAGGTGGAGGTGGGCGACAAGCCGCGCTGGGGCCTCGGCGTGATGGCGGCCCAGGCCAACCGCCGCGGCCGGCTGCACGCGGTGCCCTCGCAGGGCCTCTGGCTGCTGGGGCTGCGCGAGGGCAAGATCCTGGAGGCGCACGTGGAGGCCAAGGAGCCGCGGGCGCTGCGCACGGGGGAGCGGCGGCCCACGCGCATCGGCATCTACCTGAGCTTCGGCGACGGCGTCCTCGCCTTCTACGACGCCAGCGACAGCGACGCGCTCGAGCTGCTCTTCGCCTTCCACGAGCGCCTGCCCGGGCCGGTGTACCCCTTCTTCGACGTGTGCTGGCACGACAAGGGCAAGAACGCGCAGCCGCTGCAGCTCGTGGGGCCTGCGGAGGAGGCCTGAGGCTGCGTCCGGGAGGGTGCGGAGCCCTGGGGGCTGGGCCTGGGGGAAGGGCCGGAAGGGGGCGCGGTGAGGCCGGGTCTGGGGGTTGGGGGCTCAAGAATCCTCAGAAGTTGGGGCTTTGCATGAAGAGGGAATCGGGTGAGTGAGGGATTCGGGTGGCTGTGGGGGGAGGGTTGCCTGGAGTCAGGTCAGTCAGGAAACCTTCCTTGGGGAGCAGAGGCCCGAGGGTTCCAGAAGAAACTGAGGTGGAGGGAAGAAAGTGAGGAGAGAGCTCAGGGGTGTGGGGAAAACTGAGGGGAGCAGCTGGCAGGCTCTGCAGATTCAGGAGCCCCTTCAGCCTCTTCAGCCCTCCCTGAGGCGGCAGGGAAGGGATGTCTGGACTTAGCACACCACAGCCCTTTCACTTCCGGCTCCCCAGTCTGACTTAGGTCCCCATGTAGAGCACAGATTGCTGAGTATGATCTTTTTTTTTTTTAAAGATTTATTTATTTATTTACACAAGCACTGGGTACAGTCAGAAGCACGGGAGGGTGAGAGAATTCACCAGAGCCAGAGCAGGGAGCAGAGCAGGCAGAAGGACCGAAGTACACTGCTGAGGGGAGCAGCGGGTGGCAGGAGAGGTCTGTGCACCATGTGGGACCCTCCTCCAGTGACCGGGGAGCAGCTGGGGATCGAACAAGGGCTGCAGAGGCTGTGGGCAGCTTTGCAACCCAGCGCTCTACCGCTGCGCCACGGGGGAGGCCCAGATTGCTGAGTATGATCTTGACCAGGCCAAACCCGTGCCTTTCTAGCAAGTTCCCAGGTGACCCTGATGCCAATGGCTACAAGAGGGATGACAGACACCCCAAAAAGGGCTGACCTAGGCATGCCTCTGTTCAGTCACCTGCCCTGTGTATCGAGCCAACTGTCAGGTACCTGTCAGCTCTCAGGCACTGAAGACCATTCTACTATTGTATATTCTTCCATTCAACAGCCATATTAGGGTCCGTGCTGGGAGAATAAACCGGTCCCCATCCTCATTCCCTTTGCCTCTGGAATAGGTTCCTGGGTGTCTTGGGCACCAAGAAAAGCTCCCAAGTTGCTAACCAAGCAAAAGGGCCCAGCACTAACCCCACCCCTGACCCTGATGCTGTAGAGAAAAGCTCCCCTAGGCAAGTTAACCCCCCACTGCTCACTTGCTGGCTCTTGCCTTCTTTGGTTCTTACTCAAAAGCCCATTTCTTGGGCCCTGGAGTAACCATCTGAGGGTGACAGTCACTCTTCCCTAGAGGGAGAGGCCTTTGGGGATTCAGGCAGGTAGGAAATGGCAGGTAATGGAGGCTGTTTCCCCTTTTGCCCTCAGGGAGGATGCTGGCCTGGAGCCCTCCACTCTTGCAGGCAGGGCTGCTGCAGATCGGGAAAGGGCCTGGGGACCCCTGCCAACGGGAGCCAATGTGGGGATTTTGTTGGGGGTGGGAAAATAGTAGGTGGGATACGAAAGGCCTAAAGATCTGACGAGGGAGGGGGTTACTCCTGGGGTAGTTCCCAGAGGGAGGCCTGTTGGACCTTGGCTCTGAGAGAAGAGGGAATTAATTTGAAAAGTTCTTTCATGCTGGAATTCAGAACAAATAAAGTAAGAGGAGTCTTTGGTTGTAAATCCAGCACCATTAATAAAAACCTTTGTATTCTGGCTTATTAAATCTCTGTCATCTTTGTATTTTGACTTATTAAGTCTCTGTGGAGACTGTCTTGATTCATCTAATTTTCCTAAAAACCCAAATGTGATCATGTGATTCAATGGCGCTAAACTTCCAAGTGATCCTTGTTGCCCAGAAAGCTCCAGTATTTGGCTCAGCATTTGGGGTGCCTGGATCAGCATTTGGGGTACCTGCTCTTCTCCAACCTCCTATGTGCTATGTGCCAGGGTACATCTTCACTCTGGTCAGACTGAACTTTCGGGGTTCCTGCACTCCCACATGATACAGTTCTCCTAGGAGTGCCTTTTCCCTCTCACTCATCTGTTAGGAGTTTCTGGAAACACCATCGTTTCTTATCCTCTCTTGGCCGCAGTACCTCCTTTACAAGGTGCATGTCTGCAGAGCTCCCATCCTGGGTGTTGGGGGAGGCGGGGCAGTATCCAAGAGCCCAAAGCCTTTTTCTGGGGAAGTGGGTCCTCTGAGAAGCAGTTGCCAAGACAGGATTAAATGTGCAGGGGTTTTATGAGGAGGGTGGTCATATGAGAGAAAAGGGGCTGTCAGATTGTGAAGCCAGTTGATCCCAAGTGAAGGAGAGGAAGGCAAGGTTGGGTTGAAGTTGGCCTCAGCTGCTGTGGGGACTCCTGCAGCCAGGCTGTCCCTTGCAGGAGCCCTGTGTGCCACATCGTGTCTGCCTTTTGGCTGGGAGCAGCCTGTGAGGCCCGGCTTGGCACAGGGCCATCCCTCTGCAGCCGCAGCCTCAGTCACTTGCCCCTCATTGGAGTTACATGAGGAAACTTTCTATTCTCAGTCAGCACAGGTTCTCTCTGGCTTCAGCTACATGCACTGTGGGAAATGACGCCCTGACCTTACCGGTGGCTGGTGGTGTGAGAGGTGGGTGAGCCAAATGTCATCTTGATGGGACAAGTTTGTGGGAAATTCTGCCTCATCAGGGTGTTTCATGTTGCATGGCAGCCATCTGGCCCAGGCAGAGGCTGCTTTGGAGGAAGGGGAAGTGCCAGCTAGAAAGTGGCCCCTCCAGCTGGTGTCCCAAAGGAGCAGACGCTCCCCTGTTAGCACTCCCCCTGGTGGCGCCTCTGGGGACCAGGGTAGCTGGTTGCTGCAAGGTTTCTGCGCCCCTGACTTCTTGTAGTAAAAACATTTATGGAGAGGGCCTCCCCGGTGGCACAGTGGGTTGAGTGCAGCCTCTGCAGCTTCTGCAGCCTCTGCAGCCTCCGCGGCCTCTGCAGCCTCTGCAGCTTGGGTTCAATTCCCGTCTGGCCAGGGAGATACCCACATGGCATGGCAGACCTCTCCTGTCTTGCCCATAGCTCCCCTCAGCAGTGTATTTCAGTAGTCTGCCTGTTCTGCTCCCCACTCTGTCTCTGGTGAATTCTCTCACCCTCCTGTACCTCTGGCCTGTACCCCAACTTTTGTATAAATAAATAAAAAAAATATTTATGGAGAACTTGCTATGTGTCAAAGACTTTATACCCATATCTTATTTATCTCATGTATCCTCGCAGCTCGAGGTCTCCCAACAACTAGCTCTACACTCGGCTTTGTTGCTCTACCTGGGGGTTCAAGTGTCCCCTGGGCACCTTATGGTACAGCCATGAAGGACCCAAATCAACAGGTGCTTGGGGCATCTTGACATATCAACTCTGGGCCAACATGATTATTATTATCCTCTGGATGGTGGAAAACTTGTGAATTTAACCAATGAGTAGACACTGAAAATATGTTTGCATGGAAACACACACATGATGGAGCACAGAATCTAGATGAAAATTTGAGATTAAACAAGAGCTATCCACAGAGTTCTGCATTGGTGCTGACTGTTGAAAACTAGACTTCCAAATATTCAGGGATATGAGTTCTTCAAATTATTTAAAAAAATAAATGATGTGTAAATACATTTAAGAATATTTTCCAGCTAAGGGGAATGTTTTCTACAACAAATGCCCTCAATGCTAATATCTTCTCTTCCTCCCCATCAGTATTAATTCCTCTTGCCTGGTGTGTGGTTTTCCAGGACTTTTGGCATGGATAGAGACCCATGGAAAATATACAGCAATGCATGTTTCTTTCTATGAAATGTTCCAGGCTCTGCATGAACACGACATCTTGTTCCTCCCATTCTATAGCGTGCCTTTTTCATGTAGTCACTCGTCAGAAGGTTTGTTTCAGTTTCCTTAGACCATAATGCTATGTAGTGTCCACTGAACGAACATGCCCCTGCTTACTGAAGGACTTCGTAATGAATTGGCAGGCTTTGTGATCACAAGCAACTGTTGCTTGCCTCTGTGTGCAAAGGTGCAGGGTTTTCTCAAGGACAAACCCCGGGCATGGAGTTTCTGGGGGGCTCCTACATGTGCCTTTAGAATGCTAATGTTCCCATTCTGTTGTGGACTTGAACAAAAAGGGGTGAATGGGAAGGATCATGTGGATGGGGGCTGTGGGGGGGGCGTGGCTAACACTTGCAAGTGGTTGGACGTGAAGGGTTCCTCTAGGAAGTTCCCTTCCCGTTCTCAGGAAGATTGCGTAGCTTTTTGGCCATGTTCAGCTAGTCTCAGGAACGAAAAGGCCCAGCCTAGCATGATTCAAAGTTTCAACATCACATTCAACATAGATGGCCTGAACGGGAAAGGGAGGGGCAACTGATCCTCACTTTCTTCTCCCTGCCCGGCGCTCTCCTCACCCTTGCTTGCTTTGCTGGTTCCTTTGAAGCTTCAGGAGAGGAAAGAGGCAGATGGTGTGGCTCTACATGGGGATCCTGCAGGACAGGCAGCTGACACGCTGCTTTCAGGGAGGTGACATGGGTGCACTTGGACTCTGACCCCTGTGACAAGCCTTCAGCACCCGCCCAGCCGCCTCTCCCCTGGGTACCTCTGGCAGTAGTTACACTGCTGCGGGGTCCCTTTGCCAAGGCCTACACTGGGCTTGAGCCTCGCTCCTTTGGGCAGCATAGCCCAGGTTGGCGCTTTTCTTATCTGACCCCTGAGCAGTCCTGGTGTTCTCTGTCCCTCCCCTGAAACCCGGCTCTAGTCTTCAGGTTTTTGTGGGTCTCCTGGGAGTCCTGTGTTAGGTTCTCCTAAGAACTCGCCAGCCTTCACCTGGGCCTTCCAGTTCCCACAACCCAGGGCAGGAGAGGTGCCTTTGGCCTCCGCAAGGTTCTTTGGGAACAACAAACTCTCACTTGTTTTGAGGTGTAAGGCGTGTTCGATGGGGTTCAAGGGGGACGCTCCCTGGCTCACTATTCCATCCAGGTGGGTGCTGAGAGTGGAGTTTTCCAGGCTGGAGCTGTTTTGTGATGAGAGTTTGTCTGCAGTTGTACAGGATGTGAGCCAGTCACCCTT